ATGCGCGATCGCAATACTATTCCGTCTGACAAATAACAGTCACCAAGTTTTGTTTAAATGTAGATGTAGCATATATTTTTTAATAAAATTGGGAACTTGTAATTCTGTTTATCAAATATTAATATGAAAAAAACAACATTCGAATGATGAAGGTCGGTTTTTGTTGCGTTTTCACCGCAAAGAGGGCATTTTAATCGGCTTTTGAATACCTGTAATATAAACAAATACGCAGCTTCACTAATATAAACAAGTTTTCATACCGGTTGCGTTGTCCAGTCAAATTATCTCACTTTGGGACGGACGCGCTTCACATTGTTGCTACTTGAGCAATTATTGCTCGCATATACACATTACATCCTTATCGCTGTCAAATCCGCTTCCGGCTACCATGACTGACCAATCTAAGTTCGTTCACTTGCTTACAATGACTAGTCCTTTCGCGTTTCCTAATAAAGAAATTAAATGAGATGAACTGTGCCATTAGAGTGCAGCTCATGAGACTAGTCCGACATCAGAAAAACATACGAAGTTCCCCGTCAGTTAGGATTTCAGATGATGTCGCATACTGAGAATCTTTATTTCGACACTTTTTCTGGTAAAACTAGACGCCAGTGTGATTTCTTTTGGCGTAATTAGGCATAGTACACATCTGCAGAACTTATTTCACACAAAAATATGGATAAAGCAGAACCCGAAACGCATTTGCTGCAGTATCAGATAATGCAGTTAGGTGTGAATCCGACACATCGTTCCACTTTGTTTCTGGAACGGCGAGGATAACCTACATCTTCCCGTTAACGAAACATAAAGGTAGAAACCACGTAGAACACAGGCATATGTGCATCCAATTTCAGAGCAAGAGTAATAACGTGTATGGATTAGGTTTACGATTGTGTCTAATGTTAGGGTTGAAATTGGGAGTAGGGTAAGCGTTACGGTGATTGAGGTTTGTGCCCGGTTTTGCCATCACAGTTTTTGTTAAATATAAGGTTGGGATTAAGGAAAGGGTTAAGGTTAAGATTAGGGTTGCGCCTTGGGGTTTACGTTAGGCCTATTATAAGGCTTTGTACATCAGAATAGTAAACCATTAAGGACTTTTACGCAAGTTCACCTTTATAACTTAGGCGGGGTATTCTTATACTCTTGTCCCGCTTATGCGAACTTTCCCCATGGAACT